GTTGAGAGATGCCAGTTACGATGCCTGTGTCTCATGCTGAAGTGCCCAGGTTCAACTCCTGGCTCTGGCTCCTTTCCCCACCTTCCTGTTAACGCAGACCCCGAGAGGCAGCAGACGATGGCCAAGCAACCAGGTCCCTGCAACCCATGTGTGAGACCAGGGTTGAGTTCCTGACTCCCGGCTCTGGCCCTTGCTGGATCATTGCAGGCATTTGGAGAATGAATCAGCGAGTGAGATCTCTCTCTCTCTCTCTCTCTCCCCCTCTCCCTCTCTCTCTACCCCTCTTTCTCCTTCTCCCTCTCCCTCTCCTCTCCCTCTCTCTCTCCCTCTCCCTCTCTCTCTACCCCTCTCTCTCCACCCCTCTTTCTCCCTCTCCTCTCCCTCTCTCTCTCCCTCTCCCTCTCTCTCTACCCCTCTCTCTCCACCCCTCTTTCTCCTTCTCCCTCTCCCTCTCCTCTCCCTCTCTCTCTCCCTCTCCCTCTCTCTCTACCCCTCTCTCTCCACCCCTCTCTCTCCTTCTCCCTCTCCCTCTCCCTCTCCTTTCCCTCTTCCTCTCTCTCTACCCCTCTCTGTCCTTCTCCCTCTCCCTCTCCCTCTCTCTCTCTCCCACCCCCAACTCTTCTCAAATAAATAAATAAAATGTGGGGCAGAGCAAACATAATGGAATGACCTAGGAAACTGATTGTAGCTCTCATGCTGGGATAGGCTGTCTGATTTATAAAAAGCACTTTCACAGCCCTTGTCTCTGTAACTTAACAACTATATTCTCTTTCACATTTCAACGTCGATGGAGTCCTTAAAAAGTGTGACCATCTGAGAGTTTTACAGCACAGAGACTTGTCCAAGATCACTCAGAGTGCAGGTGACACCCACAAGGCATCCTCCATGATGCAGAAACCAAGCACGCTGCCTTGCTCTGAGTGGTGGCACCGTGTGGCAGCGTGTGGCACTGGCCCACACAGGCTCTGGCCTAGAGATGTGGGGTCAGGTCCAGCCCTGCCTCTTCCTGGCACATGAGTTCATCCCATTTCCTAACCTCTCAGTTTCCTATCTGAGAGGTGGGGATAAAAGTACCTCCAAAACACAGAGCAGTCACCAGCAAGGCTCGTTGAAATGCTGCCACTTACAAAGCATTCGGCTATGGCAACAGTCAATAAATACGGGAAAGTTTCCATGATTAGAAAAACCATTTATGGGCTGGCACCGCAGCTCAGTAGGCTAATCCTCCACCTGTGGTGCCGGCACACCGGGTTCTAGTCCTGGTCGGGGCGCCAGATTCTGTCCTGGTTGCCCCTCTTCCAGTCCAGCTCTCTGCTATGGCCCGGGAGGGCAGTGGAGAATAGCCCAGGTCCTTGGGCCCTGCACCCCATGGGAGACCAGGAGGAAGCACCTGGCTCCTGGCTTCAGATCAGCGCAGCCCCTGGCTTCAGATCAGCGCAGCACACTGGCCATAGCGGCCACTTGGGGGGTGAACCAACGGGAAAGGAAGACCTTTCTCTCTGTCTCTCTCTCTCTCACTGTCTAACTCTGTAAAAAAAAATTTAAAAAAAGAAAAACCATTTATGTTGGGAGGCATCTGAAAACCTGCCTGTCAGGAGGTAGGTGACGGAGAGTGAGGAGTCTGACCACAGAGGCTCCAAGTGCCAGCCACAGGGACATTGTGCACGGGCTCCAAGGTCCCTGCCTGCTTGATGGGCGTCATCTTCACCATCGCCTCCCAGTCACTTTGGCTACCCCACTCCACCCTAGCAAGGTCCAGTGATTCTCACATCACCCAGGGACAGCGCACAAAGCTGAGACGTGGCACCTTCCACCAGCCACATGGAATCTATTCTGAGGTACACTGGTTCAAAACAAAAATAACAATAATAATAAAATGTCATCAGGCAGCAACAGGATGAGAAGTGTCACCTGGCCAGATGCACAGTGAACCCTCCTGGGCTGACAGGGAGGCAGTGGGGTTTGGGGTCAGGGCAGGGGAGATGCAAGCATGGGGCTCTTTAAGAACAGCCGCAGGGCTGACATTCCCCGGCCTCTGTGCGCCCTTCTTTGAGACAGCCCAAAGGGAGGCGCTACAGAAGAGAGGTGTAGGATTGTCCTTTCCAAGGAGGAGCATCCTTGTTGGGCACCCAGCCACCATGCCCCAGGGCAGCTGGCAACAAAGTCAATCTCAAGGCACCCAGGAGTCAACCACGGAAACACACCACAAGGGGGCCATCAGCTCTTGGGTACTCGGGGTCCACTTCCGGGACACCCCGGGCGCCCCTTCCACTCCATCCCTCACTCTCTCACGTCCACCTGCCCATCCTCCCCACCTCGGGAACCTGGCTGCAGCCCCAGCCACCTTACGTGTGCCTCAGGAGCAGGTTAGACCCTCCGCGTGCCCTGGAGAGGAGCAGCTCAGACAGCTCTGCTCTCTGGACAATACCAGCGCCCTCTCCACCCCCGTGGGCTAAGTGACCCAGCTCCAAGTGCCCCTGTCCCTGTGGATGTGTGATGGGGAGGAACCGGGGCAGGTGGTCAGGACCCCGCCACTGTGTGAATGAGGAAGGCTTGCATCAGGGGCGCTGAGGTCAGGGAGGGGGAGGGGGAGAGGGAGGAGCTGGTGAACCTGACACAGCCCCTAATGAGGAAGCCCATCCACATCTGGAGCAGGAAAGGGACATGACCTTGAGGTGGGGGAGGGAACCCAGCTCAGCGTGGGAGCCTCTGGCAACCCTAGCCAACTGCCCCGGAACTAGAGCCCAAACGCAGAAAAACAAAAGAAAGAGGGCTGCAGTGGCAAGCAGGGGAGTTTCTAGAATGATCTGCCGACCCCCAGGGAACTGCCTGGCCTCCCGATGCCCAGGCAGAGAGAGGCCAACAGGTGCTTGTGCAGGGCCCACCCAGGGGCCAGGCGCGGTAGGAAGCAGGAAGGGACTTGGCGCCGGTCTTGGACGGCTTCCTTCTCTCCACAAAGCAGTGCTCTGGACCCAGGGGTTCGTCACTTGACGTCCACGACAAGGCGCCTTCCATCATCTCACAATCTCGGACGTACGCAGTGCTGGAACCCCACAAAACCCGACTGGCAGCTTGTCAAAACGCGGGGCAAGCAGAGGCAGAGTTGGGGGGCGGGGCGTGCTGCGGCCGAGTCGGCATCTTTCTCACTGATGTAATGAAGGGGTCCTGGGGGTTAGAGAGTGAGACCGGGTGCAGAGACAGGGGAAGCAGCAGGACTGAGTGGCCTGGCCCCCGGGGTGCAGCCCTCGGTGCGGCGCCTCGGATGGTGAGGCTACCGGCTGGGGGGAGCCAGGGGTTTGTTCTACCGCTTCTCTCATCACGTGGGGGCTGTGAACGCCTCGAGAATCGCATTTTCATTGCCATGCACTTGAGTGGCGAGGCGTGATTGACAGCCTGGTGGGAAGCCCGGCGCCCTTGACAGCAACAGAGAAGAGGGGTGGGCGAAAGCACGCGGCCTCTTCCGCTGCGCAGAGACAGAGCCCAGCTGCCCTCACTGGGAGCGGCTCCCCAGGCCTTCCCCGCCGCACTCTCGGCCCTTGGTTAGAAACTTCAGTTTCCTTTAGGACATAGATTTATCATTTCCGACTCCTCTGAAAGTCCTGTAAGTATTGCTCTCTTAGTCTCTGGAAAATAAAAATACGCACATGAACAGCTAGATGCTTAAGGGTGGCTGTTGCCAAGAGCCCACTTTGGTTTTGGTCATCTCCCAGCTGCGCGGCCGCAGTGTGCTCTCGGCGGGTCCCCATTCATCTGCCCTGTCATCTGTCCCCTTCAGCATGGGGCTCACCCTCACCATCCAACCCTCTCCTCGCTCAGCTGCCGGAGCTGGGCAGTGGCTGTCTCACTGTGAAGGACTTTCCCTACCAGTCCCATGGAGATGAGGCTCCACCCATCTCCCTCCAAATCCCCCACACCTCCATCTGCTCGCCTCCCACCTTCTCGATAGAAATATCAGCCACACCAGTCTCTCTTCCCCCGAGACTGCTGTGTGTTCAAATTCCCCTGTCGTTCCAGCAACAGTTTAAGCTTGAAAGCAAGAGCCATGGCTGAAAAGATTGCTCAACAAAGCAATAAATCCCATCATCTTACATCATCGCCTGACCCCACCCCCTCACGCCGCAGACCCATCTGCAGCACCGGGATCCTCGCTCTCCGGCGTGCTCCGAGGAGTAGCAGGGCCATTGTAGCCTTTGGTTTGGTTTGGTGAAGAGATGTCACCTTTCCCCTGCACAGTCAACACTTGGCGTGTGCTCAGCGCTTGCTCGTGCCTGACTTTATTTCTGGTGACCGAATGTAAACAGCGCCCAGAACTGCAGGCTACATTCACTTCCCGGGGCTGCCATAGTCAACTGCCAGTGACACGGGGGTGCAAACAGCAGAGATCCAGCGTCCTGGGATTCTGGAGGCCTGAAGTCCAAAGTCAAGCCCCTGACCCAAGCACCAGCCCGCTGAAGGAGCTCAGGTTCTCGGGCCCTGCACACCTGACACACAGAACTCCACCTGGGCAGGAGGGAGATACCAGCACCCAAACCAGGAATCCCTGCCAGGGGACGGAGAGGCAGCAAACGGCAGTGCAGAAGCCCTGGGCTCTATTTCCTGCCATCAGCTGCTCTAAGCCCCACCCCTGGGCGTTCCGCGAAATCTCCCATCCTCTCCTGGCCCCAGCAGGTGCCCATTCTACAGATGAAAAAAGCAGAGGCAGGCAGAGGTAGGCAAAAGTGGCTTGGCTGATGTGTGTGTTGAAGCCACAGGCCCTGGTGGTGTGAGTCCAGTGCATTCTGGGGTCTGGGCTGGGGTTCCAGGTTGGCAAGAGTGCTTTGCCCTGAGCAAGGTGAGTCACAGAATCCAAGATAGGCGCCAGGGTCCAGCTCTGCTGAGTTTTGTTTGCAGGGCCCACATGAGGCTCTGACAACTGTGTCTGACAATTTCCAAACAGGCAATGTGGAAAATGAAGTCAAGCCAACGACATACTCTTACAAAGGGTAAAAAAAAAAAAAATGTGAATTCAACCAATGATTTCTGTTTTAATTGCATCCATTCATACACAAGACACATGAAGTAGGGTGGTCACCAAGCCTTCAGAACATCCCCCTCCCAGAAGAACCCTAGAGGGTCCTTGAATCCAGAGAAATGCTAGACGATTCTCCAGCTCTCAGAAGACTGAAAGCCCTTGGCTTGGAGACTTCGGTTTGAATCATTTTGACATCCAGGCAGGTTTGCGGGCGAGAGTCCCTTTCACAGTTTCCACTTCCACCTGCTTCGCTCCCATTCTCAGCTTTTTCTCATGACAAAGATCCCAAGGAACTCAGAAAACCGAACCAGGGGCTGTGGGAGGTCAGAACTTCATCTTCAGCCCAGAGCCGGCTCCTGCTCTCGAGCTGTAGAAGCCGTGGACACGGTCACGCGCGGGCTTTCTGCGGGCTACGAGGCTGCTGGCGCTGTGTGAGCAGAAGCGAGGGTCTGTGTTAAACATCATGGGTTCCTCCCTCTCCGCGTCTGCCCCTCACTCTTTCTCACCAGCGCCACGGTTTCCCCTGGCACTCGAGACAAACATATGTTATTTTCAACTCGCTGGTCTGCTGTGGCATGCACACGTGGCCCAGGCGCGGCAAATATGAATAGCCGTGCGTGTCTGCCTTTCAAACGTGGACTCTCTCCATCATTTTTTTTTTTTTAATGCAACCTGAGAGGCTGGCACTGTGGTGTGGTGGGTAAAGCTGCCGCCTGCAGTGCCAGCATCCCATATGGGTGCTGGTTCAAGTCCCGGCTGCTCCACTTCTGATCCATCTCTCTGCTGTGGCCTGGGAAAGTGGTAGAAGATGGCCCAAGTTCTTGAGCCCCTGCACCCTTGTGGGAAACCTGGAAGAAGCTCCTGGCTCCTGGCTTCAAATCGGTGCAGCTGCAGCCATTGCAGCCAATTGGGGAGTGAACCAGCATATGGGAAACCTCTCTCTCTCTCTGCCTCTACCTCTACCTCTCTGTAACTCTATCTTTCAAATAAATAAATTAATTTAAAAAAATGCGACCTGAGTCGAGTGCACTGTGATCACGGCCAGGCAGCGAGGGAGTCCTCTAATGAAGCCAGTGGTTTCCAGTCCCAGACCTCATCCCGCTCCTCCACTCTTCCGTCTGCCATCCCCACCCCCCAAATTGGCAAACACTCAAACCAGGTCCAGCGGGCAAACCTCTCATGATCCTCTTATTCCTCTTACCTGCTCATGAACCTGCCTAATAAAGAACTAAATACAATAATTGGGCTTTGCAAAGACAGCCCTTGCCCAACAGGATTTATCATCTTATCATCGCAGCATAATGAAAGCACACGACAAGCAGCAGTTTGCAGATCCACTGATGGTAAACAAGAGATAATTCGCAAACTCAAGTGGGCTGGACGGCTGGCACCCTTTCAGGTAGCGGTAAGTTTAGGTCGAGTGCCAAACTGTCAGAAGGGAGACCTTTTAAAAACTGCCCCGCCTTCCAGACACTGACATCTGAATGTGTGCAGGGGTCTGGGCGGCGTGGCCATGCCCAGCCTGTGGATACAGAGACAGGTGGTAGATTTTCCCCCAGATGCTGTGGAATCTGTAGACGCCTGGCACAGAGCATACGGTGGGGAGCAAGGTTGATGATAACCCAATGGCAACTTCCATTTTTTTTAAAGGAGCCAGGAGCTTCTTCCAGGTCTCCCACGCGGGTGCAGGGGCCCAAGCATTTGGGCCATCTTCTACTGCCTTCCCAGGCCATAGCAGAGAGCTGGATCAGAAGTGAAGCAGCCAGGACTTGAACTAGAGCCCATTTGGGATGCCAGCACCGCAGGCGACAGCTTTACCCACTACACCACAGTGCTGGCCCCAGCAGCTTCCATTTAACACGTGCTTCCTACAAGCCATGCACCTCATCTCATTTAGTTTCATAAATATGCCCACTAAACAGACAGGGAAACTGAGACTTCATGCCTCTTGCCAAAGTCATCCAACAAAGCCAAGAACCTGTGAATGAGAGTTAGAGACTGTGCATCTAACATCAGCTCCTAACAAAATCCCAGGATAGGTATCACACCTGGGTGCAGTTGTCCTCCCTGGTTCCCCACTTCACTCCCAAGGGGTTCAGTTACCCCAGGTCAATAGCAGTCCAGAGATATCAAATGGAAACTCCCAGAAATAAAATTTTAAATTGCATGCTGTTCTGAGCAGCTCACAGCATCCCACTCTGCCCCACCGGGGACATGAATCATCCATTGTCCACATGGTATGTGTTTCCCGCCTGTTAGCCACTTAGTCGCCACCTGCGTTATCAGATGGACGATCCCGGTATCAGAGAGCACACTTCTGATAGCTCCAAAGCATCATGGTAGTGATGATGGCAAGTCTACTACAGTATCCGTTATAATTATCCTAGCTTATGCTTATTATTGGTTATGGCCGTTAACTGTTTAGTGTGCCTAATTCATAAAGTAAACTTTGTTATAAAGAAGCACAGCACACACAGGGTTCTGCACCATCAGTGGTTTCGGCATCTTGGAACACACCCCCATGGATAAGGGGGCTCTACTCTGTATTGGCCATTTAATCTCACAATTCTTGTAAGATGGATCTTACTGGCATTTCCCAGATGCAAGAATGAAACTCTGAGAAGTTAAATAACCTGGGCACCTGCCACACATGGCCCTCCAACTCCAGAGCCAAACTGCCAACTGGGCATCTTTCAGCGCCCCCACTTAGGCTGCGGGCCCCAGCCTCTGAAGACCAAGTTCCCACCCTATGGACTGCAGCACGTGCCTAGGACCACACACAGCTCTCTGACTCGTCATGTCATCCTGGGGTTCCCAGTCTGTGCACATGGAAACTAAGGCTGACAAACCCCACTGTCTGTGCAAGATCCCCACCTCGTATGAGACAGAACCAGAACTTTAACTGGTCCCGAAGCTCGTGTTCAATCTCTAGACTGCAGAACTTCTTAAGGTACCTTTCTGAACCGAACATGGAGCTTGGGTATGTGCACATGGGGAGGGTTGTTGCTGTTGTCGCGTAATCACGAGAATAACAATGAGCTAGTATTTCCTTTCCCGAGGCTTCTTGTACAACTGGTACGGGGAGGGGGGGGGTGGTATGCAGTTGTTAAACCACCAAGAAACCCCCATGCCAGCGACAAAGGCTTCCCTGTCTAGCCATAGCCCTCAGCTCTGACTTGGAAAGGACCCCACATGGTGGCTTGTGGTCTCAGCAGTTACCACCCTCACCACCACCATCCACCGCCGGAAGTTTTCCACCTTCCCAGAGAGAAACCGGGTACTCATTAATCACAAAGTCGCCTGTTTCTCTCCACCTTCCACCCCTCTGTCCACCCAGGAATCCTCTGAGCAACGCCCAGTCACTATGAATGACTCATTCTAGGGACTTCATATACGCAGAATCACATAAGGGGCTTCATATAAGCAGTCCTTCGTGTCTGGCCTGTCACTTGGCGTAGTGTCTTTGGGTTCCTCCCATTGTAGCATGTGTCAGAAGCTGGCGCTTTTCAAGGTTGAATGGTGTTCACTGCATGGATAGACCACGGGCAGTCTGAAGGCTCCTTAGAACTTGTACATGACCATGGTCTCGCAATCCCACTGCTGGGTACACGCCACCTGTGGCAGAAACTCAACCAGATATCAGACCACCAATGTCCATGGGGGGTTTCATCAGAGCAGCCAAAAGGAGGAAACCAGCCAGTGTCCACTGACGGCTGAGTGGCTTGAGGAAGCCGGGTCTATCCATGTGATGGAGACCCTGGGGCTGGTCCATACGCGCTCTGTCTGGCTCTTCCTCTAGTGTATTTTCCCTGAACTTGCTGAGAGATCCTGAGTAAGCTCCAGGCTCACTGCCCCCTGTGAGCACCAAAGGCATAGACCCCACCATCCTGCCCAGCCCCTGTGTGCCCACCGCATCCTAACAGAGATGCAGACTCCCCCTCCGTCCACCCCAGACCCTTCCTCTTCAAGATCTAGTGCTTTGAATCCCCGCCTAGAAAGCTTCACCCCCATAGCATGGGAGTCCCCTCATTCTCATACCCCCCTTGGGCAAGCAGCAGCCAGGCCTACAGGGGGCCCTGGTGTGTCCGGGCCGCAGCCTCTCTCCTAGCCCCGGGTACCGCTCACTTCCCCCACCCTGTCCCGGGAGACATCTCCAGGGTGGCTTTATGAGCGAGGCTGGGGAAATCTATTAATGAGGGTGGTAATTGTTACCTTTGGGCACGGCAGCTGATTTACAGATCTCGGGAAATGTTCGTGCCTCAGATTCCACAGGCATAAATTTCAGCTTTTCCACCATTTTATCTGCAGCAAAACAAAGCCCAGGGAGATTCCACATCCAGGGCTACAGATGTTTGGCCGCACGGAACATTCTTCTAAGACAGGGCAGGGGGTGTTTCGTTTCATGGACAGCGTGTCATCGCCGGTGCCGTCCAGGCCCACGCGTCCCCATCAGCGGGGAAGCACTCAGTGGGTGTCAGCGTGGGTTTCCTAGGAGGAAAAGGGCCCAGCGCGAGGAGGCAGGGCAGCGGGGCAGCCCCGCAGGCCCTAAGCTTTGTCCAGACGGAGAAGGCGCATCTTGATCAAGCAGGCTGCCTGACTCCCAGAGCAAAGCAGCCCCTTGGCCCGCAGCCGGGGTGGGGGGTGGGGGTGTCGGGGCCGGGGTGTGGTTTGGGGAGGGCAGTGGAGCCATGTTCTTAGAACTCGCTTGAGAAGCGACTTTGGAGCTCGTGCACCCCATTTGGAAGGTGAGTGGGCGCCCGCGAGAGACAGAAGTACTGACCCCAGTGTCTTCCAAAGGAGAATCTGGGGGAGTTGGAAAGTTGGAAGGGAACTCAGTGCTTTGGGATTTATCCAGTTGGAGGTTCCAGGGACTCCTGTAAGGGCTATAAAGCCAGAGTAATTTATTCCCCAAAGAAAAGAGGAAAAACAGCTACAACATCTCCTAAGATACAAGCAGAAAAACATCCCCCACCCTCCCCCGCCGCCGCCCCAGCCCGCCCTGCCGGCCCTCAGAAGTCTGCCTTCCCACCTGGGCTCCTCCATGCCAGTGGCGGCCTCAGCATGACGTCAGGATCTCCAGCACCACATGGGTGCCAGACAGGCCCCACGACCTGAGCCCCCTCCTCCCTTCCAGGTGCTGCATCGGAGACCTGAGGCTGGGACACAAAGCGGCGCACAGCCCAGTGCTGTGTCTGGTTTCGCTGCAATTGAAACAAGCCCCTGGGATTCCAATCATTCAACAAATATTTGCTGCACGTCTGCTACATGTAAGGCACAGCACGAACAGGACTCGAGGAATTTCTGGCCCATCAATGTTCACAGTTTCGAGCGAGAGTTCAAGAAGAGCTCATCTTGGACTCTTGTATAACTCCTGGTGGTTGCCGAAGCTCCTAGCCTATGGGGGCTATGCTAACAGCACAGAAGTGCAGCTCTTCAGGCCCCCTTTACAGAGGAGGAGGACGAGGGTCAGAGGAGCAAAGGGGCTGCCCAAGGTCCCCCAGCAAAGTTAGAACCAGGACTTCTGAGAAAGGGGGAGGGATCAGCTGAACATCACCCTGTGAGAGCGAAGCAAATGGGGCTCACCTGCATAGGGACCACGTGACTCCAAGCCTCTTTATTCTTGGCAGGTGCAAAAGAAAAAAAAAAAAGACCGGTATTTGGGGGTGGAGAGGGGCTGTGCATGACTGCAAGGAACTGAGTAGGAAGCCATCGTGAGAAGGGAGGGGCTTCTAGAGATTTCATTCATAATTGCAGCATTGTCCCAGGATGCTGGGCTGGACAAGGCTGAAAAGGGCTGACCCTTATGTTTAGGGAAGGGAAGTCGAGCCAAGAGCCCCCACCTCGAGGCCTGGTGTCAAGGTCACTGCCCCTTCCCCTCCACCAGCCGAGATGCTGTCGACAGGGGAGAGTCAGCTCAGAGCAGAGCAGCCCCGCCGCCTCTGTGCCCTCCTCCCCGGCTCTTCTCTTCTCCGGGAGGGAAGGCGAGAAGGAGACACCAGGCCTAGAGGGGGAATTTAAGGACGGCTGCGCGGCACCACTGCAGAGATGGGTCTTCACGCTCCAGCGTCTCGGGCTTGCTGCTGCAGCCCGCGCAGAGGTCTTCCCGGAGGAAGCGCTCCTGGGATGCCCGGAACTGTGATGGGGCCCAGAGACGACCTCCTCGGGCGTGTGATTAGCAATGCCTTCCAAGCTGCGGGGGGCGTGGGCTTTCTTGCCCCACACGCCCAGGAGGCGCAGGCGCACTAAATGCCAAACGCACGTCTATAGTATACCTGCATCCTGCACCCACCGCAGGTCCTGCTGATGAAACGCAGTCTTCGGAGCCTCAGCCTGGGCAGCCAACGCCAACTGATGAAATGGGCCGGTGCGAAGGGCTCTCTCCCGCGCTGGCCATGGAAGAGCCCGCTTGCTTTGGGGTCTGCCTTGCATTCCTTACTTTAGGAAATTACCTCACTGGCTCCACCTGGTTCTGGTAAATCTGTCAATCAAGGGGCCACGCCTACTTCCTCCAGGCTGGCCAATCAGAATACTCCATGCTCAATCTCAAGTCTTCAGTTGAGACAGGCATATGACTCAAGTCTTCCAATCAGAGTCTTTTCCAGAGATTAAGAAGGATGAAGAGTAGGCCTGTGTCTGGGACCACTGGCCATGAGGCAGAGGTGACTGTGGGCTTACATTGAGAGTCAGGATGCTCTGAGAAATAGAAACAGGTCCTGGTGATGGTGTTTAAACCCCGGATCTGGCTGCCCTGAGGTCAGGTCTACGGCCTTGAACTTCCCAGTTGTGCCGTGCATTGCAATGCGGGTTAATAAATGTGGTGGTCCTTCCTGGGGACGCTCCTCACTCAGGTTTGCCTCGCAGTCTGCCCGGGAGGAGCCGGTGGGGACTGGAGCTCCCGGGCAGCTCTGTTCATCCTGCCCTGACCTGTGAAAGCAATCTGCAGGCTTGCACCCTCCAAGCCCTTGTCACAAGCTGGTCTCCCTCAGGGCCAGGCAAGAGCTCGGGTGGCTTCGGTCAGACCCTTTGCCACTGCTCCACCCAGCTTGAGCAACCCCAAAACCACTCAGGGCCCAAGTCTCAACATGCAAAGTAGCAGGAAGGAGGCGAGGGAAGAGCAGACAAGGATGCAGCCAAGTGTTAGCTTTGAAGAAGTACAATTCCTCGTTGGACAAAAAGACGGGGAAATAAGTAGGCAATTTGACGGTGCCATAGCTTCAGGTGTCTGATTTAATTGGCCCTGAGCTCACAGCTCCAGCGTGGGGGTTGCACAGAGGTTGGCTGGTTTCCTGCAGCTTCCTGCCTTTCCCTGATGACCCACTAGCCAACCTCAGGGCGCTGCCATCGACCAGGCATTCCCAGGTACCCATCGGACCACTTAGTGTAATCCAGCTTGATAGTGGCAGAAAGGAAAATACGGAAGGGGAAGTGTTTATGAATTCCTTCCCAGAAGGGCAAGCAGAAGCCCGTGCGCTTAAAAGATCGGTGCATTTAATCTAAGTCTTCCTACCTCCAGAAAAAATGAGATCCACCTCCCAAGAGGGGCTCATGCAGAGGCAATCGGAGACATCCACTTCTAAGACCCTGAGCTAGCCAGTATCCTATGGGTTCCCAGGGACACAACCCAAAAAAGGGTGCATGAAGTATTGTAGGCTCACTTAACGGACAGTTTTGGTGGCCTCCAAGTATGGCGGAATCCAGGTAGACAATGTATACAATGTCGTAAGAAAATGTTTCTCCCAGCCTCTGTGCTCTTCTTCCCTTTCTGGTTACTTCAGCTTCAGCCAGGCTTCCTGAAGGGACGCCTGTGGCTTCTGCTTTGCCTGCTACCCTGAACTTCCAGCCAAGGGAATGTGCCTCCCTACCGGCCCTACCGACAGAGATCTCTGAAGTCAGTCTCATCAGACGAGCTTGCGTCAACTGCTCATCTCTGATTCACTCACCACGGCCAGTGGGGGGCCTGGAATGATCTGGATAAGAAGTAATGTCAACCTGCTCCACAGTGGATTCAGACTAGGAAGAGAGCATTTTCTCCCAGAAAAACAGAAAGGATTCTGTTTCCCACTGAGGTCAGATGGATGCTGAGCTGTCCTTTAAAAGTCAGAGAAGAGAGATCATCAACGGTTGCCTCCCCCGATGCTAAAATCAGAGACTTGATGAGCATAACTGTCGCTCCCCGTCTTCGTGGAGGAACGACACAGGACCCTGCGCTGTTCTTTTGTCTGCTCGGCCCTCCCCGGGTTTGCTGTTGGTTCTTCCCGGGTTGGCTACCATCCCTTCCACCTCCGTGGAAGGGCGGTTCCCCCTGGCCACTTTCCCCACTTCCGCAGGGGAGCAGCACACCGCCGGCCGGCTCTCTCGGGGGCTGCACAGGTGTTCCTTCAGATAGATGTTCCCCTAGATGTTCCTGGTGCATGCTGTCTCTCTCCTCCCTTATAGTCCTCTTCCGCCAATCCCAACTCGGCTGCCCACACACCGAGTACGCTGCTCTCCTCCAATCAGGAGCAGGATCAGCTCCTGGAGGTCATCACTCAAGTTGGCAAGAGGCAGCTGCGTAGAAGCTGTTTTCTCCTCTCCCAGCGCCATATTGTGGGAGAGCAGATGCATAGAATAAGTCTTAATTCCAGTAACTTAGTCTAGTCCAGGTTGCTCCCCACACATAACTGCTGGAGCCTCCTGTTCCCTTGCCCGTCACACATTCTGCAGCCCGGGAGAATCTCCCATCATGGGTGCACAGGACCTGAGTCCAACATGACTGTGCCTGTAATCCATCCACATGACTGTGAACGCAGGAACACGTGCAAACCCAAGGGACGCACAGACTTCTCCCCAAAACCCAGGTCCCTGCACTTCTGAAGCCACAGGGATGGCCCGCTGCTCAGCCAGGGGCGCCTCCGGCTTTGTGTGGATGTCAGCATCCTGCCGGGGCTCCATCCCCCGCCATCTTCACAAGCACAGACCACAAGCTCCCAAGTCACAGCCGCCTCCACCAGGATGCCTTCATCACACCAAGAGTGACGTGGCCTCTCAACCCTGCACGCCCCGAGCCTCTCTGAGATCCTCCATCCCAGAGGCCCCCAAGCTCGTCCCCTCCATTCTCGCCTGAACTCTGCACATGTGCCAGGAAGAGCCAACCACTACGGTAGCATGCCGGGTATTTGAGAGCATTGCATTTGGAGCTATATTCTCATTGATGGGGTATTAACAAGTCCCCTTTCTGTCACTGCTTTTGACAAAGCCATTGACTACGTATTTGGCAGTGCTGGACCAATAAAATTGCTGGCTCCTAGTATAGGAGAAAGTACAACACACACACCCCTCAGGTTCCAGAAAATTCCCTGCCTTTGACATCACTGAAGGGCCAGGAGATAAGGGACAGAAATTCACAGGTAGGCAAGACAGTGAGTCCAACAACTTTATGGAAACGGTGACTCCAGAAAGGGCACCTGGCCTGGGAAAGTCACCCTGGACTGTGAGTGCCCGCTGTCCAAGAGGCCCTTAGGGGACCCTGAGGGGACGTCAGGGCTGGCACACCGGTCAGGGCACAGTGAGATGTGGAGTAGCCTGGGAGCAGAGACTGGACTGGACACCAGCAGGAGCACTGGGAGGAGACTCAGAGCCAGCTTGTCCTCCATCACAACCCCACGTACTGCGTGCCCACTGCATTCCAGGCTCCCTGCGCAACGTGCAGTGTCCTCATCAGCTCCGTGCGTCCTGCCACATCACAGAGGTCAGGACCGTCACGGACCCCATTCTACAAGCTCAGAGAGGCTGCTCCCTCGCCCTGGGGCACACAGCTGACTGGCAGCAGACACAGAGTGAGGCTGGAGACCGTACCACGTGGGGCACCGACTGCCCTATCCGAAGGCGTCTCTCCTGGTTACCCTGGCAACAGCCGTCTCTGTTATTTCTAACCTGGGACTGCTAAGGGCCTCAAAGGTTATAAGCTCTGCTCTTTTAATTACATCCACCTGACAAAAGTCACCTTAATTAGAAAGCCTCCACCAAAGAAAATGCAGCCACAGGGGCTGGGCCGAGCTGTCCCCCGGGGCGGGTCTTTCTGATGTGACAGTCACTGAGTCACAGTTCAGCTCTCTGCACCCCAGGCCTGGACAACCCTACCACTCCAGCCAGCTGCTGTCTCTGGCCCCCAGCCCTTCCCCCTTTGGGGTTCATCACAAGGTCACCATCACAGAGAAGCCTCAGTGGTTCCACTGCCCACGGGACAAGACGGAAGCCCCTGCCTGGCGTTCAGCATCCGCACCCTGCAGCCACGGCTTCCAACCTCAAGGCCTTTTCCAGGCCACACCTCCCCCTGG